TCATTAAAGATATGTATACTAGTGCTGTTACTTGTGTTCAAACTGAAGGAGGATTGACAAAATATTTTCCTATTTCTGTTGGTTTACATCAGGGATCGACTTTAAGCCCATATCTTTTTGCTTTAGTTATGGATGGTCTTACTGGACATCTACAAGAGGATGTACCTTGGTTTATGCTTTTTGCTGATGATATTCTTCTCGTGGATAAAACGAGAGAAAAAGCCCAGGAAAAACTTGAATTATGGAGGTCTACATTGGAGTCTAAAGGCCTTCGTTTAAGTAGAACTAAAACTGAATACATGGAATGTAATTTTAGTAGTAATAGCTCTAGTGACAGAAGTGTGACTTTGGGTGATCTAATTATTAAAAGGTGTGAACGATTTAGATATCTTGGGTCCGTTGTCCAAAGCGATGGTGATATAGATGGGGATGTTAATAGTAGAATTCAAGTTGGTTGGTTGAAGTGAAGGAATGCTTCGGGTTTTTTGTGTGATAGAAAAGTACCGCTAAGACTGAAAGGAAAATTTTATAAGATGGTGGTGAGACCTGCAATGCTCTATGGCGCTGAATGTTGGCCTTTAAAAGAGAAGCATAATAATAAGTTAAGTGTTGCTTAGATGAGAATGATTAGGTGGATGAGTGGCTTTACACTTAGAGACAAAATGCGGAATGAATATATTCGTGATAGGGTTGGTGTAGCTCCTGTGACAGACAAAATTAGAGAAAGTCGTCTTAGATGGTTTGGTCATATTAAACGTCGACCATTAGATGATCCGATTAGGAGAGTAGATGTTTTAGATTCGACTTGTGTTAAGAAAGGCAGAGGTAGACCGAGGAAGACTTGGGCTTATTGTTTTAAAAATGATCTTAATTTACTAGAACTAAATGAAAATATGACACTAAATAGGACGCAATGGAGAAAAAGGATTCATGTAGCCGACCCCACGTAGTGGGATTAAGGCTTTGTTGTTGTTGTTGTTGTTGTTGTTAGTTAAGTTAGTAATAATAAAATTAAAACCATAGATTAATTAAGTTAATAATAATAATAATAAAATTAAGTTTAAAAATAACAAAATTAAGTCAATAATAATAATAATCTTAAGTTATTTAATTAAGTTAATATTAAATTATTAATCATTTAATTATAATAATTATAAATTAAGCTAATAATAATAAATTATTTAAACATATCTTTAACTATATAAATAATTCAACTAAACATTAAAAAACTTAATTAAAATACTAATTAATGAATTTATTAAATATATAATTAAATTAATTGAAATTTTAATTAATGCTTAAAATTTTAATAAATTTATAAAAAATTTGAATCAATTAAAACTTCAATTTATCAAAATCTTGACTTAATATATATTAATTTTTTAAAATGTTTAGTTTATTCTTTTAAATAAATATAAATCATCTAGTTAAACATATTTTTATAATTTTTATTATAAAAAATATATAAATCATAATAACATCATATTTGTTTTTTAAGAATAAAAAATAAAAAAAAATACTTAAAATAAAAAATAAAAAAATAAAAAATAGGAAATGATCAAAAAAAAAAAAAAAACTAAGAAGCTATAACCTATACTAGGTTTCACGAAACTGGAACGGGCTGGACCCACTTTAAGGGTCTGTTTGAGGTAGCTGCAGCTTATTGAATAATCTGCTGATAAGTAGATTAAAAATAATTTACTGATAAGCTAGGCGCGGTGGCTATTACAAAATTTTATTTTTAGAAAAATCAGACTGTTGCGAGAAAGTTACCACTCCATCTAGATAAATACGATTTGAAAATATTATTTTCAGCATTTTAAAAATGAGCTGCAAAAACTCAAGTCTGCACCAAAGAAGTTGCCCCCAAATTGCCCTAAGCAGTCTAAATAACGAGGAGCCCGAAGGAAAAGCCCGGTAGGGTTTAGAGTGAACCCTGTACCTGAACCCCTTCGCCGCCTCCAAAGTGGCCAGCCAGCGGGGCAGCGGCATCCTCGCCGGTTTCTTCTGCTCAGTGGTCCCTTACGCTGCCTTCTACTTGGTCATTTTCATCTCGCTTGCTACCCGCCAATTCGAATACTTATGCTCCAGAACTTCAACAAAATGCGAAGGTCGGCAACTTCCCTATTCCGATCTCTGGGATCTCGAAAGTTTTCTTCGACGGCAGCCTCCGCTTCACATGACCAGATAGTTGCAGCCGTTCTTTTTGAGCGTTTACCTGTCGTCATTCCGAAGATCGACCCCATCGTCTATGCTTTCCAGGAATTCTCGTAAGCAATCTCTCACTCTCCTTTGTTCTAGATGACGTGAACTTTAATTAGTAATACTTTGTTATATTTTTATTATTCAGTCTTCGATGGGGGCAGCAGTATCGGAGGAAGTACCCCGATGAAGTCTTGGGGAAGGGGGAAGCAAGGTAAACTTAAATAATTATGGGATTTTTGTTGCATTTGATGTGTCAGATGAGCATTTATATAGTCATTTTACCCTTTTGTTTTTAAACGAAGTTGATTGATAAACTCTGCTTTTAAGTATTAGCCATTCCAGGACGTAGTAGTCTTGGTTGGGATAACATTATGAGTGAATCTGTTGTTAAACCTTCAGAGAATTTGGATTTTTTTTTTCTTTTCGATCCGTCAACTGATACTCCTTTCTCATCCACGGGTTTCCTTGCTTTTTAATAGTTTTTATATTGGAGCTTCGCAATGTTTCCATTGGACTTAGCCTGGTCATATTTGCTCCTCTATGAATGTTAGGAGGGAGCTAAGGAGATTTTGTATATTTTTCTAAATGGCTAAGTTCTTGTTTTGATCAGTCTATTTGGCGAACCTTTCAATTTACATAATTTTAATCCTGTGTTTATGTCTTGAAAAACCATCAAAGGAAATATTACATAGAAATCAATGAATTTTTAGTACCGAGTAGTTTCTTCGATATATATATTATTTTTAATTGTGATCGCTAAACAATTAGTATAGCTAGCCCTATCATAACTAATTCGGTTTCAAAAGCGTTGTATGCTTTCATGATAATATGAGTTGGCTTGCCGGTGATGTTAGGCATAATTATAGTCATTGGCCTGGCAAAATAGGAGTGCTAAAAAATAAATGGTTTTATAGCTTATAAAGATAATTTAATTATGAGTAATACTTTTTAAGAATATGAAACAATAACTATTCCATCAAATATTTTTAACAACATAAGGATATTCAAGTTTTATTACATCCCAAGTTCAAAATTTTGCTAAATTAATTATTTTATACAAATACAGTCAAATAATTTAGGTTTGGAGCTTGCTTTGCCAATGGCTTATCCAATCTTTAATGTTATTTCTTCCATCTTCATTCTCATCTGGGCTGTGCTCTGTTGCACTGGATTTATCACTCTTTTTCTCTTCCTTTATTTTCTTTGACTTATTCTCATTTTTAATATTTTCTATTCTAGAACTTATGCTATTGTATATTTATTTGATTAACTTATTTCTAAGTGTAAATACTTGTTTCTCAAAATTTTGATTATTTTCACAACATTCACTGCAAAGTTATTTTTAATGATAACTACTCATCTTCAGCATTTTAGTTTTTAGCAACCATTTTGCAAATTAGGGCAGGGCACTCGCTTCAATGCTAGGTTACTTAAGGAAAGATGCTAGTCTAGATACACCCTAGTAATGTTGTTTGTATTGGAGGGGCATGGGGCATTATAGTCTCTCCTTGACTCACTTGAGCACTTAGGAGAGCTCTGCCCACCCTTGACTCTAACCATTGTAATGTTTAGTTGCTCAGTTTGTTAAGTTATATGGTGTTTAAGAGAAGTATTTGGCTTTAAAAAAATTTCTTTCATATAGTTTGAATATATTATTTCATATTGCTGAACATTATTACAATGGTTGAGAAAACATGTTATATCATATCGCTACACAAAATTATAATGGCAGTTATTATGATGGCTGAGATAATCTTAACATTGATATAAATATGGAAGATATGTTTCCTATTGCAAGTAGCATTTTTTATTTATATTAATATTAAGATTTCAGAATTAGGAAGGAAAGTGCTTAAAATAATAGCAAGCATTGAGATTTTCAATATTATGTGAAAAATAGGTTTAATACCGTAGATAGCACTTAACTGGAATTAATAAAAAAATGAGAATTCATAAACCTGACCCCAAAACCGTTCAGTTAGGGCTATTGATAATGATGATATCTTGCGTGCTGCACTTTAAGAATGAATTTTTAATTTTCCTTTCCTCAAAATTTAAGTTGCTATTATGGCCACCATCAGCTTCAGCCGATAGATTTTTTATGTTCAGCCTTACAACTTCTCAGCTTTAGGCTTCTATCAAGTGTTTTTTGTAATGTTATTCTTGTTCATGTAAATTATTTTGTACTTATAGACATAAGGAATGTTTTTTGTTTCCTTGATTTTATTCACATTAATTTTATATATTTATCCTATTAGTGCATCTTTCACTCGTTATTCTATTTTCTGAAGTTTCTAAGCTTGTCTTTTTAAACTTTTTCCTTATTAGGTTCTACTGCTTAACTCTATCCATGAACTTCAAATTCAAGTTCTATTTCAACTATTTGACAGTCGTTTGATATCTTCTGTGAATCCGATAAGAATCATTTGCTAACTACATTAATTATGGCTGCTTACCATGTATTAATCAGAAAGAAAGGAAGGCATACAATAACACGAGCTTGCAGAATAGAGCTAAATTTCATTGATCTTTGTGTTTATATTTTGTTAAAATTAAATCTAAATTTCTTTTCATGTTTCTTTTTTTTAATTTTCTTACTTCTTAAAAATGTAATAAGGAGTTTCAAGCTTCTGTGATGACCAAATTTTTGAATTGGTTTTACTTTAATTTTCTTTGCACATCAGCCATCCAAGACCTGACAATTTACTTCTATGGTAAACAGGGGAAAAGGTGACTACCATATTGATTATGTGCCAGCCCCGCGGATCACTGAAGCTGACAAGATCAATGACCAAAAGTAAGCTCCTAGTTTTGTTTTTGCTCTATATTTCCACAATTCAATGTTAAATATTTGCTAGGTGATGAATTCAGACGTCTTTTGTTTTCACTAAAAAAATGTGTAACTTTAAACTAAAATACTAGTTATTTACCAATTACAATATGAGAATCCATATGGTGTTTATTAGATTTTTTTTGTTACTGTTAACCAGTAGCCCTGCTCCTATCTGAGCAAATGTTCAGTCTTGAATTGAAAGAGTACATTTGTTACCACCTTGGGTGTTTTTCTTATTTTATTAAATACACCTCCTATCATGGTAATAAATTTTAATGAGAAGCTCTCTCTTCCCCGCGGAGGGTCTTTTTTTTTTTTTTATATATATATATATATATATATATATATATATATTTTATTTTTTTTTTCCCTTTTTTTTCTTTTTTTTTCTTTTTATAGGTTAAGACGTATTACAATGATTTATCATAATCAAATTGGATTTATGACGGACATGTCTACTATGGAAGCTATACATTTATTGAGTGGTTTGATGGGGA